TATTACTGTTACCAAAAGCTTGGCACTTATCCCTGAGACTGCATCAGAACAATGAGGACAGGTGTTTTGAGGAGAAGGAAAGAGAAGTTTGTTAATTTGCCAGCAAATGAGGAGGTTTGTAGACTCCCATCTTAAAATACCAACGTCCTGCCTCTGAGCAGGAATAAAGAGTTTTTAAAGGGGAGGTTTTCAGCTTCAGGCTATTGCTGTTCAACTATGTTTGATGTTCTGATTCATCCCATCTTCAGGCTAAGACAATGTCCTGACCTCTACCCCAACAATTCCCTTGAGCCATCTCCTGTGGTACAAAGAACAAAGGACACTTCTCTGCTCCTCCTGACCATTGGCCTGGGGCAGAGATGCAGCTTTAATTCCCAGAAAGAGTGGGGAAGGTTTTAGAGAGAGAAAAAACATTTTCAGCCTTTTCAGGCCGTTGGCCCTGTTACATTACACTGTCATACTCCACAGAGGGAAGAGCTTATCCTTTAAATCCTAGGAATTACACAGTGAACTCTAGTTCACTAGAACCTCACTATGATATTTTTAGGTACCATATCATGAGTTTTACAGTTGTTTGAACATACAGTTTATAAAGAAAAACCTTTGGATGCAGTATAATATTGGATTCAGAAAGCAATAGCCCAAAGACTGGTGCTTTTGACTCCTGAGAGGCCTTAGAAGCTACCTCAGAATCTTGGTCCTTGTCACCTTGACTTGTCCCACTACCTCCAAGTGCAGGGAGGGACTGTCTTTCTGGAATGTCCTTAACTGACCAAGAGAGCTTCATTCCAAAAGAAACACCATTGCCTTCCTCCTTTCCCCCCTAGATCTCATTATCTATCTGAAAAAAGAAGATTGAGGAAGGCAACCACACCTGGATGGATCTTCTCACAAGATAAGGCCTGCCTCTAAGGGCTCATTCCAATTCCAAAGAGAATCATTTACAAGTTAATTCCTATTCATTGGTCTCCCTAATAATCCTTTGCTGCCCTCAAAAGAATCCTTAAAAGAATTGTCTACATTCCCCATCTCTCCCTCCCCTGTGAAAAAGAGTAGATAAGCTTCTGTCCCAGTAGATTATTGAGTAATCATTCTCCTTTGGTTGGCCTCCACGTCCCCTCATGCACACTCAGATAAAATTTTGCATGCCTTTTCTCCTATTAATTTGCTTTTTGTCAGTTGATTTTGAGTGAACCTTCAGAGCTCAAAGGGGAAGTTTTCCCTCGGCCTTTACAATGGGATGGGCCATATTAAACTGATTTCCAATGCCATAACTCATCATATTATACTGAGGTTGCAATGCAATGGGAAATTGAAATACATCATCCATATGTCCCATCTTGGAAGACTTTAGAGTTGCTTTTCAATGTTTTATAAGGGAACACAAAAAATAGCATACCAGGTCCAGAACTCACAAGCTTTATCCATTAGCATTTTAAATCTAGTCAAATGAAATGTACACACTGGTGCTGGGAGGTCTGGATGTCTGGGAAAGATGAGCCTAGCAATACAATAACAGAGGACCAATATTCAACCAACTATAAAACTTAAGACTTTAGAAGGCCGAGGCAGGAGGATCATTTGAGGCCAGAAGATAGAGACCAGCCTGGGCAATATTCTAAGAGCCTGTCTCAACAAAAAATTAACAACAACAACAAAAACACTTTAGAAGGAAGCAGTCTTTTTAAGATTTTAAGGTTGTTGTCATGATTTTGCATTTAGAGTTATCAGTTAAAGCACATGACATTTTTCATCCTTTAGTTCAGACGTTATTAATGTTTCCCTTCTTAGAGATAATAAAGACTGTAATAAAGAGATTATTCAAATCTATGCATAGTTCAGATAATAAACCATCCTCCAACTTTTCTCAAAAGTATTTTCTTTTTTGCATCATTTTCTTTTCCAAAAAGTACATGTTATTTCTAAATATCCCTAGATTGCAACCAGAAAAAAAAAGCCAATTAAGTTTCCTACTATGGAGGCCCAACATGGTGAATAATATTTGGAACTCTTCATTTACTTCTTTCTCTTGCTCTTCTCAATTTTCCTAGTGACAGTGATTCCAAAGTAACATGGTAGGGCATGGTTACTCTTGTCATAACTTTCAGAAGTTAAGGTGTCCTAGTTTTTATTTGGAGCCAGCTGTGAATGTCATACATGAATTTATCTTAACCCTTTGTTAAGCTGTTTGTTTATATTTTCAGCTTGTGACACCTCTTGAGACAATGAGTTCTATGTCCCATATGAAAGAAAAATCATTTATGTTTTACAGTTAGATAA